CTCCTCCTCCTCCTCCTCCTCCTCCTCCTCCTCCTCCTTCTTCCAGGGATAACTTTGAGACAGACCAAGTGTTTAGAATAGAAGTCTGGAAGGTGTTTGTACTTTTGTTGACATTCAATTATTTTTACACGGATACTTCTATTCATTTTATTCTGCTCTCTTTGAAGTTGTTTACCTTTTTAAGGCTTTATTGCAGTATCATTGGTATATAAAAAATTGCATATGTTTATTGTATACCTTTTGGGGAAGCAGACTGTTTGCTTTTTAATCAACGTTTTATAACTCTACTGCGAAATTAATTTTTTCCTCTCGTATGGCGCTTTTTCCAAATGGGAAAACATTTGTCCCCTGAAGACGAGCCTTTAAAACCTATTTCAGTATCTGTAAGGGACAGACCAAAATTTATGAGTGGCTAGCTATAGAGCCATACTTTTATTTTCTCCCCTATGTTCGACATGTATTTATTGAGCATCTATTCTGTCCAAGCATTGTCTACCTGAGCCCGGACGATTTCTCTTAAAGGGCTATCACATTCTGCTTATTATACACATCTTCCACATCGTCTGGCACTGGTTAAAAAAAAAAAAAGCTATCACATTAAAACATGAGGAGTTTGGGCTTGATATCTTGATATCTTCACACACACCCCCCCTCCTCAGATGCCTTTGGAATCCCTTATCTTAGCATCATGTAAGCATTTTGTACTCTCTTGAATTCAAAAGAGTCTTCGTGGAATTTGCTAGACTTGATGCCTCTTGTCCTTTACTACTCTCTGGAAATAGAATGGAGCCCATCCAAGCTTCCAAAGGAAACGTGTTTCCTTTGCCTCTCCCTTGGGGTAGCCACATCAACACTGATGGCCCAAGGGGACACTGTTGCTTCAGCATCGCAAAGGCTGGGTCTCTGTTGGCTTCTCGGACTCTTCTGGAGTCCTTTCCTCCCATGTCTCAAATCCACATGGGGGGAAACTTCTCAGAAGGGCTCATTGTTGAGCACGCTGGAGTTTATTCAGCGCATCCACTCGAGAAAGCGCACATTGGCCGGTCCACCTGTCCACCCTGCCCTGAGGTTTTTTTTCACCGTTATGCCCCCCAACCCAGTCACATTTGGGGCTTTTGCTTCACGGAGCCTCCAGTGCCTGGTTCTGTGGAACACTCACTCTGCGACCTCAGATCTCACAGAGCAAGGGACTCCCGTCGCCTCAAATAGATTAAAAATGGAAGCAAACCAGGCACCCCTCAAACTCTGAAACACTTGCACCAGGGAAGAGAACTTTGGTTTTCTGTGAGTCAGTCTCCTTTTTTCTTTTTTAAAAAATTTTTTTAACGTTTTATTTATTTTTGAGACAGGGAGAGACAGAGCACGAACAGGGGAGGGTCAGAGAGAGGGAGACACAGAATCTGAGC